TGGATTTGTCGTTTAGAGTGTTTTTGTGAGGAAGCGTTGATAATCTTGAAACACGGTATATCTTCTAAAACCCCGTGGCCCCACACATTCAACGTACAAATTCTCAGTGCACGCCAGTTTTCAAAAGATGCTTTGTTGATACATTTTTCACCTTAAGCGATGGCTTGGGGCTGTACAACTCAACAGTGGGCGCGTGGCTAGCAGTGTCCTTACAGGCATGAGCCAGTTCATGGGTGGAGCTGTGGGCCATCCGTCCATGAACCAGCTGAGTTCTGTGTTTTCCACTTTGCGCACTTTGTGGAGTGGTGAAACCTTTAGACCTTTTTACATTTCAGTTCATGGACAGGCAGTCCGTGGAATTATACATATATAATATATAAATATATAGAGATTGATTCTTTTTGATTCACCTTTCAATTCCACGTGATTCCTGTTAATTTCCCTTTACATCACTTTGACTCCTATTGACCCCGGTTAACTCCCTTTTGATTCCTTTTGATTCCCCTAACAAATTATTTGATTCATATTGATTCTCACTCTTGCACTTGTTTAGGGTACTCCTGTACTTACTCCCGTGACTACTGTAATCATAATTGAACATTAAAGACAGTAAAGGGGTCGCCATACTTGGTCCGTACTTTGGAGTCATAAACGAATGGCCCACCTCAGTTGATACAGCACAAGGGCTTTGAACCAACTCCCCAGCAACCATGGCCACACAAACTGCAAACACATGCAAACACCCTACCAAAAGATCTGGACTCCTCCTTCGCGTGAAGCCAGCACCCCTGGGACACTGAGGGCACGACTCAGTGCTTCGGCCAGATAGGCGACCAAACCTGGTGATCCAAAACAAGACTCGGATCGCTTAAAGTCTTGCAAGTCCTACAGGGTCTTTTTAGATACTCTTCATGTATGTATATGTTTCCATATCTGGCCTCTATCCATAGATGTTCCATGTAGATGAAGAAAGAGATCATCCTAATATATGTGGGTAAACGTGTAAAAAAAGCCTTGTCGGTGCCATGTGACGGGGTCTATTTTCGATCCTTCATGCGACGGGGTCTGCGACCTGGACTCTGCCCAGGGGCTGCGTGACAAGGTGGCCGCTCCGATGTGGTAGTCCACAAGCTGGTTCACCACCTGGCACCCGGGGACTAAAGGAGTGAGGTCGGAACTCCCTGTGTGGCGGTGAGGCGGTGAATTCCAAAGCTGGATCACGCTGGATCATGTGGATCATCTATCCTCTTCCGAACCAAACAAAGCAGCCCAAACGGGATTGTGGAAGATGCGCCAAATCCTGTGGACCCTAGCAGCTTGAGCTAGCAGCTAGCGACTGCTAGTGACACTGGCCCCTAGTAGCGTCCTTGTTCCTAGTAGCGATGCCTCTGCATACGGTGGGTTGGAGGCCATCGCTAGTAGGTTGGAGGCCAAGAGTGGGTCTCTTGGTCGACCATGCGGCTCTTACCCCAGCTTCCCCACCATCATCAACGCAGGCAACTCGCCAAACATGCCTCAGCAACACTTGCACAAAAGCAAGAGCGAGATCCCACACAAAAACTTCAAAACAATGACTGAACGCTTGTCTAATTCGATGTGCTTAATCAACATCGGCTTCAACATCAAGTAAAAAGCACAAGGTTGCCAACATGGTATACTGCTGTGTTTACCACCGTCTGGTGAAAAATGTTCTAAGATCAGAAGACAAAATCACCGGAAACCCGTACTGTAGTTGCATTTTTTTATCTCCTAACATCACCAAACGGCACTGTTCTTTCCACCCAATCAATTCACCAAGGTACAATACACATAGAGGTAAGAGGACCCGGAGACGGGTAATCTCGTGGCCAGCTCAGCAAAGCACAGCCCGTTGAAGATGCTACTGAGCCCTGCCAGTAGGAAGGACACCGCGACCTGAAAACAACGGAAAGACATGGAAAGACCATGCCAATCGCCATAAGGAGTAGTTTGTGGGAGGTGGCATGGTCTTGCCATCCTCACACCAGTCTTTAAAGAGCTTTCTCACACTGCGTGGGTCTCACAGTGCCCGTCCGATGGGTCTCACACGCCGTTCGCATCCGAGACACAGAGGGCCCAGCGATGCGAGCTTCAGCACCTGTGAGCACCTTAGCTTCTATAGCCACTACTAGTAACTAGTAGCTTCTTGTTACTACTATAGTAAGGCACTTGTTACTAGAAGCGATGCACTTGTTACTAGTAGCTTCTATAGCTAGTAGTAGCAAACTAGCCACTAATAGCGATGCCCTTGCTTCTACTAGCGATGCCCTTGTTACTAGTAGCTATTTGCTCCTAGTAGTGATGCCAGGAGCTACTAGTAGCTTCTTGCTTCTAGTAGTAAGGCACCTTAGAAGCTACGAGTACTATAGTAATAGTAATATTATGGTGTTGAATGCTTCCACAGGTTTGTTTATTTTTTTCGAGACTTTCAGGCTCTGCCTGCACAGTTGTCTTTACGCAGTTGCTTGCCTTCCCTGACAGTTTTTTGTTCTATTTGCATGATTTTTCCTTAGAACTTTGTCTGCTCCTTCCGTTATTCACGTCCTTTCTCGTTGCCAGAATGTCGTGTTGCAGCTTCTGCTGAACTGTATCTTCGGTTCGCATAACGACAGTCTACTGGAGGTTTCAATCTGGGGTGCAACCCAACACAAGACGAAGAACAAACTCTTCCAAAGCACAAAGTTGCACCATCACTACAGAACAGATTCCTCCTACATGACAGTACCCCCTCCTTCTGCTTCTGTTTCTGAAGGACATTACACAGTGATGGGAATCGTTTTGTTTTGAAATCAGTATATCCGTCACGCACATCCGCCAATCGGTTGGGAGGGCACGAAGATCCCGGCACCGATGCAGGCGCCGATGCCCAGCAACGTCAGCTCTGTGGCGTTCAGCCGGCGCTCCAACTCCCCATCCTCCAGCGCAATTATGCGCTGCGAAGACTCCATAGTCCATAGTGAAGACTTCGGTGTGATATGAAGAGATATGGCTGTGGATCAAAACCGGAGATTGACCACGGACCACGGAAAATGAACGGAATGGACTACTAAGGAGGTCAACCTACATCTACAGCTCTGGGTTTTGACCCAAAGCTATATGAAGAGATATGATCGATGTGCCTTTCAATGTGGTGCTTGACCATCTTTGGCCCGTGGTCCAACGTGTCGGCTCTTTGACATCTTGGAAGGAATTCTGAGTCAGGACAAGTCAACAAGAATCTCCTATATCTGGATGAACTGGATGAGAATGGCAAACAACCCCCTCGCAGCCATCTGAATAGTCTTTCATCCAACACTTGCTCGCTCGGCTCTCTCGGTGGCTTTCTGGAGACCATTGCTATTAGATTGGAAGCCATTAATTACTATTAGTAACAAGAAGCTATTAGGCTGGAGGCCATCTCCCGGTGGCTTTCTCACATCGTGCGCCACCCCAGGCTGTCCGTCCGCCGTGCGCGTGCGCCACCCTCCTCGGCCGTCGGCAGCTCTCGGGTCTTCGTCATCTCGTCCACGAGCCTTGGCTGTTCACAGGTAGAAGAGTCACGGCCTTCCAGAAACAGGATTTACAGTATTACATAGTTCATACAGTAGTTCACAATTGTCAGTAAAGTTATCAACTACTCCAACAAGGAGCATCAAGGAGCTCTACAACCAAATGCGTCTGCATAAGGCTGGATTTGGATTGTGGACTCCATTGAACCTCTGACTTCATCTAGCTTCTACCTGTCAGAAGCCAAACACGCTGGTGGCAAACTATCCCACCATTGTAAACGGAGTTCACAAATAGAATGTACTTGATATACCATGATATACCTTCCTTGCCGTATCCAAGGATTTTCTTTGGTCGACTCAGTCGACTCTCAATTCTCCGCCTAGCAGCTTCTCTGGCCATGACTGCGACCGTGCGAGGTTCGGCTGTACCAAAGGCTCGGCGCTCATCGTGTTGAGACGCTGCGATGGGACCAGAGCTACTAGTAGCGATGCCAGGAGCTACTAGTAGCTTCTTGTTCCTAGTTCTGCCCTTTGAAAAACACCTCTGCTGCTTCTGCTTGGTAAGTTTACATGCCTCTCTGCTTGGTAAACGGTTTGGTAGGTTTCTGATGCGTTGAAGGCAACGACCTAACTAGTTGAACGCCCCGGTGCCCACAGCTTTCTGGTGGTTTCTCATCTCACTATCACGTGTCGGAAGAAGTCTTCCCCACATAAAAGCCAATCATCTTGGACTTGAACATGGCCCCTTTCCAAGCATCAGGATGAGCGCAAAGCAAACAACAATGTGCCATCCCAGCTTGGGTGCATCAATTTTGTGAACAACATGCTTTTCGAATCTTTTTGGCCTGGAGGGATTGCTGATAGCTGCCATACTACGCCCCGAATTCAATTCTCCTCCAACAACACCCGTGGGGTCAGCATGGCCTTGGCATGACCTTTGTCAAGCAATTGCCCTTGTTTCTCTTTGGATTCACTCAGTGGAACTTGACAGCTGCGGGCACGATTCTGGACCTTGACCTCATTCAGTCGCCATGTGGTCAGGTGGCAAAGCAAGGAGTATGCATAGAAATTCTTCACTAGACTCTGACTGATCGATCTTCTTTGTGAGGCGTTCTTCAATCAAGCTGTAGGTCTTCATTGACATCACCTTGTGTTCGAAAAAAAAATTCTCAGCACGAAGAACAACCTCTCCCAGGAGGAAAAAAAGGTCATAGACATTCTGTGAAAGGCATCGCTACTAGGAGCAAAGGGCATCGCTACAAACGGAGCAAGGACGCTACCTGGCCGTACTAGTAACAAGGTTCGCTACTAGGAACAAAGGGCATCGCTACTAGGAGCAAGGAGGCTACTAGGGGCTCCTGGCATCGCTACTAGGAGCAAGGACGCTACTAGGGGCTCCTGGCATCGCTACTAGGAGCAAGGACGCTACTAGGGGCTCCTAGATTTTGCGAAACCCCCTTTCAACCTCTCCCTATCCACTTCTTCGGCCCGTGCCGGGAAGATCGCCGCCCAACGGCCTCCTCAGCAGTGGCCGATGCAACAAACGACCGTGAAACCAAAGATCAGGCGCCGGCCAGTGGGGTTGTGAAAATATGTTTAAACAAAATTGGAACCATAGTGTGTGTGTGCGTGCTGAGATGTCCGTATTGAACAAGTACCAAATCAAAACGCATATATAACTCCTAGTATGGGACAGCATCTGGGATTTGGGACTCGCTGAAGGGTGTGCAAAACGTGGAACATCCTTCAGATTGACTCCAGAGCAACCATAGCTCTCAACCTCGTGCAATAGGTTTCTTTTGACGACCAATGGAGTCAGCTGTCTGGAGCATGTTCAATTCAGCAAAAAACAGCTCTATATTGAAACATACAAAAACATGCTGAGAAAGGTCTTCAAGGAATTCAACGCTCCGTTTCACGTTCATTAAAGAAAGGACACCTTCTACGCCAGTGCCAACATCTATAGAAAAGGGCATATCCATCCAGGAACTCAAATACCACCAAGCCCCACCAAAGTCACTAACTGCCCACAGACAGCAGTCTCCTCTGCCTCTGGCCCTTCTTCAGGCTCCTGAAGCATGTTCTCCAAACGAAAAGCACCAATGAAATGTGCAATGCCAAAGCAACCTGGCAAATGCCTCCTTTGAAGGCTTCTGGGCTGTCCATTTTCGAGATACATCGGATTGGTTCATGGAGTTCAACCAGTCTTGATATGAAACAATGCAATTTGATCGTTTGTTGATGTATCATGGTGTTTTGTTCAGATCACACTAAATCTCCTGAAGGCCTTTGGGGCAAGCATCCGAGCCAGAACTTTCCCCCACGTTTTTCCGCCCTTGCTTCTTTCAAGCTTTCAGCAGGATGCACAGATTCTGGGCCATAAAAGACCGAAGCAGGACCTTTTCAGGCCATTGCCATTGCTATTAGGTTGGAAGCCATTGCTATTGGGTTAAAGGCCATCGCTCTTAGTTTGGAGGCCAGCTCCCCAAAACAACGGTCGTCTAGGGTCGTCCAAAAGAAATGTCTGTCCTCTTGCAGCGCTTCCTCCTGCGCTTTCTGCTCTTCCTCTACGATGATCCTCAAATCCTCCGGGAGGTGCTCTGGAAAGCCTCTGCCGCGCATGCGGCATATGCGCGGATCGCGGGAAGGCTTGGGAGCTCCGCAAGCGGCGAGAGTTCGACAATGGCTTGAAGGATTTGCGCAAGCCGGTGATCCCCAAACTCCACATGGACTCTGAAAAACTACCACATGTGAAGAACCTCAAGTGCACTATAGTGCTTCCATCTCTCACCAAGGAAACATCACGAAACCCAATGTTTCAATTTGGCATCTGAAAGACTCTGACCACGAAAGGCCACAAAAATCACTTTCAACGGCCAGAAACGCCCCAGAAACCGCTATCTGCGCCTGGGATCTGAAGCAAAGATTGGAGCCTGAAAGGGTGGGACCCTCTTCCGGTCAGATTGGTTGGCCGGTCATGTCATGTCATGTCCGGTCATCAAAGGGATATCCGATAATCTGACTATGCGCCAGTGAAGACTGCACCCAGCTCTAGTCTCTCCAAGACTCATTTCAATATCCCAAACCCGTTTAAACGAATTGGAAAACCCAACAAACTGAGCAGAGAGCTCTAGCTTTCGACCAGGTGCCAAAGCTTCTCGTGCAGCAGCACAGCCACAACGGCCACCACTTGCCTGCGATACATCTTCCTTAGCTCTCTGTGAATCTCCACTCAGAGGTCATACAGTAAGGACCTTACGAGCAAATAATACACGCACCCTTGGGCAAGTGAGCCCTGGGACGTTCTGCAGATCTGTTACAAATGAAGATGCGACAACAGAAGGGTTTGGGTTTACAGCTCCAGCTTCGATTGCCAGGAAAGACACAGCAACCCGAAACTCCAAGTTTCTTTTCCGAATGCAAAGCCACAAGGAATTTGATGACCATCTCCTCCAGGTGAGGAGACCGGAATTTGCATCGCCATCACAGCGGGGACCGGATCAAAGACCGGATCTACGACCGGATCAACGATCGAGTAAGTCACTTGTTACTACTAGCGTGGCACTTGTTCCTAGTAGCTTCTTGCTCCTAGTAGTAAGGCATTTGTTACTAGTAGCGATGCCAGGAGCCCCTAGTAGCGTCCTTGCTCCTCGCATATATATATATACATATATATGCATCCCTGTCTTCTTGTCCCCTGTCTATTGGGCATTCCAAGTATTCAACGATGGGCTTGCTGTTTACGTTTAAGTACAGCTTTGGACACGGCTTCGCATTCGGTCGCCCGGACGTCTGTCCACCCTCCACAATTGCAGGGCCACCGAGTCGAGGAATCCTCTTTGGTCCACATGGCATGGGAGTTGAGTCGAGGAAAACTAAAACAATGTGAGGATGACTTGATGGATGACAATGACATGATTCACATGATGATGGCATGACCATGTCATGAATGACACAATCATCTGATGACCCGACAGGACCATGCGTCACCATGAACCCACCTCGGAAACTATGGTGGCTGAAGACCTCAGCACCCTGATCACGGAAAATCACCAGCTACATGGAGCCTTGTTCCATCCATGTTCAACGCATCTGAAGCTCTTAGGTTGGAGGCCCTGGGTTCAAAACATCTGAAACGACGATCCGCGGCGCCTTCGAAGCCAAGGGGTTCAGCAGCTGGCCCGGTGGTGCTTCGCGCCCACGGGAGGCCTTCGGGAACCCCCTGAGGGCCCACCGGTGCAGTTCATCCACGGTTCTCCGGTAAAACACATGCTCCATGGTTCATCCAACAAAGCCATGGCGCGATGGTATTGACCAATATGATAAGGTCCTTGTGGCTCTACCTGTATACTGTGAACAAAGGCATGCAAAAAGGAGAACACCTTGGACAGGAAACCTGTAAAGCTCGATTACTGGAAACGGCCCGCTTCCCAGCTCCGCCACTAAACCAACTTCCGATCCTCCAGATGAACGCTGACCCTGCCTGTGTCACCGCCCTCCGAAAGGGATCAAATACCTGCGGTGGCTCGTGTGGATGCAATCAAAGGAGAGCACTCTGTAAGTGAGTCATGCTCCCAAGCAATACTCAAGCGTCAATACTTCAGTTAGTGGCAGAAACACATGCCTGTGGTCAAATGAAAATGGACACCATCTTCGACTTTGTTTTGAGGGTAGTGGTTCGACAATGGTCCATTCTCAGGAATGATTCCACAATGAGGACATTCTACAATCCACAGAATACGTGCAATCGCTCGGTGGCAATCGGTCCAAACTGAACACTCCACTTGCTAAATGTTCATCTCCTCACGTCGCAGCTATTCTTCTTTCATCTACTTTGCATGTGAGCCAAAGCCGCTCAACCAAGACGTGAAGCATCTCCGAATCCCAATGATCAGCATTCTATATGAGGAAATCGGGAAACAAATCGAACAAAAAGAAAACATGATCAACTTGTTTTCGTCTTATTTGTCTTATGTATTGATGTTTTTTTTCGTTTCCAATCGGACTTCCCCAGCGCCTCGGCACCGTCCTGGGAGACTCGGTCGGGCGCCAGGACCACGATCTGCTGCACCTGGGAGGTCACATGCGCAGAAGACAACCCCAAAAGAAACACAACACCGCAACCGTTTGGGTGATAACAGGAACCCCAAACACATCTTCATCTAGCTGAAGATCCCAGGTTTCAAACACATCATCTCTGATTTGATCTTAATCGGTCCACAGCCCCATGACCCACCCTGCTGACCCAACTCTTCCTCTTTCGCCACGCCACACTTTCTTCCAGCGCTTTCGCGATCGCTCGCGCCCCCGCTTCCATGGCGGCGCCGCTGCCCCGCGTGGGGCGTGGGGAGTCTCCAGCGGAAAGGGACCGTTAAACACGATGCTGACCATATGTTTTTCAACAAAAATGATGGCCATGGCTTCTTTGCGCCTCAAGAATTGGACCTTGTGCCCGAAAGAATTGGTCCAATGAGATTCCAAGGCCCGAAAAGTGCTTGTATTGTTTCAATCTGGAGTTGTATGCAAAAAAATACTGTATTGACAAACCGAGGCCCAACAGCCCAGATTTGTGCTGTCAAAGCCACCCAAACCCAGGCCCAACAGCCCAGATTTGTGTGCTGTCCAAAGCCGCAGCGGGTCAGTGTTCATGCGTAGACCCTGTGAAGGAAGTGTTTCGGCCTGTTTGGCTCCACAAACGACAGTTGAAGATGTCCGGACTTTAGCGCAATCTGGAAGGTAAACTAAAGCTGGTTGAACACATGTTTGACATTTGGCAACTTGCACTGCTGAAGCAGCAAAGGCTCATGATTATGAACATTGAAAAGGGATGTCCTCTATCTAAAAACTGCCTGTCCTGTCTTGGCCCTCTGCTTCAGTTATCATTGTACAGCCCTACAAACAGGTTGGCCGTTCGCCACTCCATTCTATTGTAGCGGATCTGTAGCAACACGGTCAGGACATAAAGTTTGGGATTGGAGTGTAGTTCATAGCCCTTCCACATCTCAGCGTCGGAATCCCTGAAACACTGAAATTGGGCAGAGTTGGGTGCCGGATTCACGTTATTTGTTTGTTGGTGTGTGTTTCTTTTGGGTTGACCTGACCTTACTTCAAGTTCATGTTGGGCAGTCTTGAACACTGCTCTGAAGGCCTCGTCCACCCAATTCTGCAGTGCTTGGCCTCCCAAAACAGCACCGCACTACACATGACGTGTGCCACCTGCAGGCGCTAAACACTGATTACCTCCTGAAAACCCATCTGGCGTAGATTCTTTCGGTCCCTTGATCTTGATCAAGTGTGGGCTGCACGCGATGGTTGCATTGCTCTGGGGTCACATGATAGAGCCGCGTAAGGTAATAACAAAAGGGGGGCTCTGAAGTATGGCACAGTCTGCCCACAAAGAAAGATTGCACATACCAAAAAACCAAACATGAACCTCAGTGGCTTGCGGCTCAGGCCGAACGTGAGCGTGAGCGGAGCGGGGTCGGCGTGTTCCTGTTGAGGGACTCCGGTGAGCGGTGGGCGATGTTACTCCGCCATCACATTGACACAATCTGCAACAAAATTGACAAATTGACCAACCCTTTAAATTCTAGTTCATGGTGACCGTCAAGATTTTTTGCGGGAAAAGCATTGGCCAGGATTTGGCCCCGGGTTCGACTCCCCCCTCACCCCTGTGGATTGAGTCCGGGGGCATGTTGCTGCTGGGTCAAAGGTGTGTGGCCTAAGAGGCAGAAACTTGCAGGGCACCGCGCCGCCAGAGTCCGTGTGTTCTCTTCTTGGTGGCACAGAAAGGATTGGCTGCATTCCATGCTTGGCTTCACCTAGCACGCCAAAACGCCAACGCCCTGGAGGCGCTCCCTCCCACCGGAGGCCGAGCGGGGATGTTCTATGCGGCACCTGGAACCTCGCAGGCCACAAAGGAGAGCGTAGAAAGATGCATGTTTGTCGAAGTTTGTCGAAATGATGTAAGATGTGTCAACATATTAGTTTCGGATATGATGATGGATGCGAGGTCGTTTTCAAGGCCCCGTGGTGTGAGATATGCTGCCCGAGTGGCCTTGCAGTATTAGCATGTTCTGCTTCTGCTTACTCTCTTTCTCTTCCTCTTCCAGAGAAAGAGCAAGAGAAAGAGACAGGGTAAAAGGAAGAGATGCAGAAAAAGAGACACAGGATCAAAGGAAGAGATAGAGAAAGAAGTGAGGAAGAGAAAGAGGAAGAGACAGAGAAGAGAGAAAGAGGAAGAGCCAGAGAAAGATAAAAATAGAGAGGAAGGCCTGGCCGAGCTCAAGGAGGCCTTTTCTGCCCATGAGACCTCGCATGACGGACATGTCGCCCGTCCAGACTTGGGGAGTGCACGATCCTAATTATAAATAAATATGAATAGCTTCTTGTTACTACTAGCGATGCACTTGTTACTACTAGTAAGGCACTTGTTACTAGAAGCGATGCACTTGTTCCTAATATATAGTGCTGTGAACAAACACGGTATTCTTGCATTGGCTCGAGGCTCGAGCAACCTGTACCAAACAAAACGACTGCATATATACATGTGATAGACTTTACTTTGTAATATCACTTATTAATCCAACCACCCAAAAACGATAGCTCTTTGGATTAGACTGAGAAGCGAAAAGCAACTGCTGACTCCATCGGAATCCATCGGACAGGTCCTGCCTCCGAGTCCATCCGCTGTCCATAAAAATCGCTGTGGCTGGATGCATCTTGTGGCCCTTCAGGATTTGGGAAGTGATCATGTTGGTCATTTTGTAAGAGTCGCCTCTGTATGTGTGGACGACACTCTGCTGTAAACGCTATAAATATACTTCTGAGTACCTCTGTCGTTGGTTCTCATTGAACATGACGAACATGTTGCTAGTTCAGTCGACTGACCTTTTTGGATTTGAACATTTGACATCAAATGCACATCCCGAACTCCTGATATACAATTTCACGGTTGAAATGTTCTTGCGGATTCAGATTGGAACACACCGATTCGGGAATCCTCTCATCGTTTCGATGACTTGTTTGGAGCCCACAATCCCTATATCAAAGCCGCATGAAGCAACTGATGGCAAACCACTATCGAACAACAAAAGGGAGCGAGAGAGGAACATGAGCGAACGAAGGATCTTTGCTGAATGTTTGCCAAGCTGCGAATCGGTGCTGTTTGCTTCATTTGCGTCAAACGGGTGCAACAAAAAGTGTTTAAAGTGCACAACTTGGAATGATTGAACTTCTATCTCGGTCTTGGCTCATCAGGTCTGGGGTTGAGAATGAATCCGGACTAGACTTCGATGGAGTTTCAATCCACATTGAATATCGTTAGATATATTAACTTTTGTCAACATGGGCAATGGGCCCCTATGTTCACTCAGCGACTAAATGCTCTTCTGGTCTGGCCATTCCAAAATTCTTCCGCTCCCCAACTTCTCCTTTGCCTTCCCGCGGCCTCTTTTTCTGCATTTCCCACCAACGTGTCCCGGTTCTCCGCGCGGCAAAGCTTTGGTCGCGCTAGGATTGCGCCTGACCAGTCTTATCTAGCAAGTGGAAGCGAGGTTTCTGAGGTCCAGGACCTAACGAATTGCCCTTCACATCAACTAGGGTGGAGGCCATGGCTACTAGGGTGGAGGCCATTACTACTAGTAGCAAGAAGCTAGTAGGTTGGCCATCGCTACTAGGGTGGAGGACTTTCATACCTTCCAAACTCTTACGGTGATGTTCTAGAGCTTGAGCTCTCCCAACCTTGGCGAGACTTGCTGGGACTGTAAACCCAAAAGACTGGTCCTATAGAGTCATTGAAAAAGACTGCTGCCTATGTGAAGGCAGTTGGGTGGAGAGCATCCTTGCTTTTCAATTCTTTTGAAAGGGACCATAGATCTGGCCTGAACCTGCAGTAGGTTGACCATGGTTGACAACTGTGGCGATGGCAGTTATGAACAACCAAACGGATTCCTATGAAAGAGTGTATCCAATCGCTAGTAGGTTGGAGGCCATCGGTGAAAGAGTGTATCTTCAAAGGTTGTGGATGACATTCGTGTTCATCCCACCCCACACCCTTCATCTCACCTTCGGCTTTGGCTTGGGCTTCGCCTGGAAGGTCCACATTTGAGATGCGGCACGGCAAACGTTTCGCTGTTAGGTGTCAGATCTCACCGCGGAACAACAGAACTTTGTTTGATCTCGCTAAAAGGGTTGCATGTGGGTCTATGAAGAAATCCTCATTGTCAAAACCCACACAGCACGTGAAGTGTTGGGCTTTCAACCACATGATTTTCTTCAAGATGGTCAACGTTGCCTTTATTCTGGTAACAATCAAACAAAACAAGTCTTCCCAATATATATTGTGTATATAACATAATAAGTATATACACGGTAGCGCTACCAACCTTGCATGCATGTGTGCTTGTCGTTCCATGATTGGTGACTGGCATCTGGTTTCAAGATTTAAGAATCTAAGATTCAAGATTGCTGGAAAGGTTGTTCTTCGCATCTTGAATCTGGAGCCGAGTAGTTGCAAATAGATGCAACTTGCAATTGCCTCTGGATTGAAGATTCAAGAATCAAAATCCTGGGAAACGTTTTGCTGAAATCGCGCGTCTTGAATCCCACCATGCTTGCCACTAGTTGCAAGTATTTCCCTCCAGATTCAAGATTGCTGAACTTGCTTTTGACGGAAATGTGGAACTTCGAATCCAACAAACTCAGTGAAACTCAGTGAAACTGTTTTGGTCAAAACTCCTAAGTACCATGGAGTCGAAAATGCTGGAGGCCTCTTGGTTGCATATTGTACTGGCTTGCAGACATGCTTTGAAGATACTAAAGTTCGCATTGTTTTATTATGAAGAATGAACTGCAGAACAGGCCTGATTCATGATGATCAACAAAATACTGCTATTCCTTTGTCAGCTGATTCAAAGCTAAAGCACTGATGGAGTTAGTTCTCAGGGACTCAGGGGTGCAGAAGCTGAGTCTTTGGTATGTTTGAGTTTGTTTGTTAATTGATTTTGATATGCGTTTGAACATACTTAAGACGCTTGATAGCAAGAGTATGATGTCTAAATGACGAAATCGATTAATACTTGGATCCGACATGTGTGAATCATTCATCTATTTATCTTGGAGAAGTTATGATTGGTGCTGATGTCTTCATGTGGCTGTCTTTGAACACTAATGTTGTAAGAGCTGCTGCGGAAGTTACAAGATTAGTGTGCCTGACATAGTAAAAGCAGCACATAGCGTGCAAAACACGGCAAAACATGAAGTTGGGCAAGAATTGTGTCATACCTAGTCTCTTTTGAAGTTTGTGTGATTTGTTAGTCGAATGAACCAAGGTCCCTACAATGTGTATCTAAAGTAGCCTAGCAATGCAACGTCTATATCATATCCCTTGTAATGTACGTTGTTGATTTGAGAGTCATGTAATGTCTTCAGGAGCTGTTATGCTTCCTAGTAGCGTTCTTCAGTACTTACAAATGAAGCATTTGAAAGAGGTGTTGACGTTTGCATACAATTCTCTCATGTTGAGAATGGTCAAGTCAACGTGTTAGTTGATACCATCATTGAGGTTCAAATTGTGGAGCTATCAGCTCATACTGATGGCAAGAAGAAATCCAGAGTAAACAATACACTAATGCAATGCATATAAGGAAAAATAGCAAAACTGTTCCTAATATTTATGGTCTATCTACAACCTACCATGCACAAACTATTTGGCTACAAACTGATGTAACAGGTAATTGGCCTTTTAGAAGATTGATCCAGGCATTATACTTGATGTTACATGGTTTCATACTTGAAATTCAGTATGGGAACAAAAAAACTAACAGTAACGAAGTTCTTGAAAGAGAAATTAGCAAAGACAATAGATGTGGTAGAATAGTTTTAGAAAGTGTTGTTGCCTGCCACATCTGCTAGCCACTACAGTAATAAGTGGGGAACTGCAGCAGCAACCCCCAAAGAAGCAACCCATTGCTCAATGGCCCTTGAGTCTGTCGGCCTTCGCCTTTGTCTTCGCCGCAGGCGATGCGACAGCGCCAGCACCGGCCACAGCGGCTACCGGGGCGTCAGAGGCCTCTGAGCCTGCGGAGGCCTGATGGCTGAAGCTCGGCCGTGCGTTCCGGGGACAGTTGGACGTTGATGTTGTGATGCTGTTGATCCAAATGTGTCATGATGGCCTCCAACCTAATAGCAATGGCCTCCAACCTTACCTAATAGTGATGGCCTCCAACCCACTAGCGATGGCCTCCAACCCACTAGCAATGGCCTCCAACCTAATAGCGATGGCCTTCAACCTCAGCGATGGCCTCCAACCTAATAGCCATGGCCTCCAACCTAATAGCAATGGCCTTCAACCTCAGCGATGGCCTCCAACCTAATAGCGATGGCCTCCAACCTAATAGCAATGGCCTCCACCTAAATATAACATATGTGTCATGATTCATAGTATGTGTTTCTTCAATTTTGACCCCAAAAGCGATTTGGAAGAGTCCCAGACTCCAATTTACCCGTCAAGCTTTATCGATGCAACTATATAATTTGTGAAACCACTAGAATACACACCATTTCCTGCACCTTTTGCTTGAAGTCGCGAAACAAACTAGGAGCAAAGGACGCTACTAGGGGCTCCTGGCCGTACTACTAGGAGCAAGAAGCTACTAGGAACAAGGGCATCGCTACTAGTAACAAGAAGCTACTTACTGTACTAGGAGCTCTTGACATTTAACTTTCGCACCCACGTGACAGCTGGAGGCCGAAGTGGATTCGCGCGCGTTCGCGCCTCACGATTCTTGGCCTGACAAGCAGAAAAGGGAAAACGTCGCCCTCTCGAAACGTCGCATTCGCACCAGTTGCCTACAAATCTGTCACCCCGTACGCCACCATACGCCACCCGCAAGCCGTGAGTCGGCCTGATTCATCCCGAAAGTGACGCCCGCCACTGCAGTTCCAACCTGATCGAGCCCGTCCACCTAAACCGATCGAACCTGGGCCTGGTGCACTTTGGTCGTTTTCTCTGCCAAACCGCCACGAAAACGCAAAACCCCTAAGCTGTGGCCCTCATGGGGAGGCGACTGAGTCTATCAATCCCACAACTTTCAACCTGGTGCGCGGAACGTTCAGAACCTCTTGTAATGTGTTCAGGGCATTGATGTTCCCAACCATTTGTTCTCATTGGTTCATCCACATTGGCTACACCAAACCACCAAACTCACTTGAAGAAACCACCAAAACATCACCTATTCCGGATCCTAGTTTGGGCCCCATGAAAAACTTTGTCTCCGCTCTGTCAAAAATGTGTGACTGTGTTCGCAACAAAATGCACGCAATCTGCTCCACAGGTTTCTCCAGGCGCTCCAACGTGTTCTCACATCTTTGCACAGCACAACAGCTGCGTGAAACACAAAGCTTCCGCCCAGCGACGAAGATCACCAAAGCGATCATCAAGGCGAAGTCCAGCTGGACCTCAATCCCAGTTCGTTGCGACATACGCGGGGACCTGCGATCACACAGATAGTCACGGGCTTTGACTCCAGCGGCTTTCGCCTGAACTTCTCAAACTTGTGGAAGATATCTTCAGACACATATCACATTAAAAAAACAAGACCCCAGCAACAGTTATACTTGACTTTGCATATGACTTTACTTAAGCCAAATCCTAGCGAAAATTATCCAAGCAAGATCCCAGCACCAAAGCAAGATCCCGGCACGAAAGCAATGCTAGCGTAGCAGCGACTCTACACAACAACCCTACCTGCAAGCTGCAGATGTATTTGCAGCATACCTATTGCAGCATACCTACAAATGCAGCTATATAAGTCGAAAATGCATTACCACCTCCGTAGCAGCACCTCTAGTAGACCACGCCTGCAATGCATGCAAGCTGCAGATGTACTTATAATCTAGCACAATCCCAATGTATTGATATGCAAACGTGTTACGCAACAACAGATTTCTACAGAAGAACCCTTCGCAAACGCTCCCGGGAAAATAAAACAACAAGAACACTTATGCCACAGGCTTCTCGTGAATCGAATCCAGCAACATCAACGCCCCAAACCTCAGTGTCCCTGGTCAGGATTGTGCGAAACAAAAGAACCACAGCCGTTCATGAACTGCCTGGCCACCTGAGTCACGGCCTGTCTTCTAATTGACCATTCAACTCTTTTCTACTTTCCAATAGGTGACTATCGGAAGGGGGGGAATAACAACAAACCTTACTTTAGGTAGAAACTGCTCGATCTTGATTTGCCTCCAAACCCGCCCTAATCCTCTCAGACCGGAACGTCATGTCGAGCTTGGGTGTCCACCTCAGATGGAACAGCCATTGCCCTGTGGGATCTCCAAACGCTCAAAGAAATCTTTTTCCATAGATGTCAGGCTGATTTCAGGGTTACGACAGTGCATTCTGCCTAGGCCTAGTATGTGCATGCTATATACAGTATATTCTAAATGTATGTATGACACTGACACAGCCCCCTAGACTATGACTCAAACATCTACCCGAACAGCACCCAGTAGCAGTGGGGGGCTTTAGGCTTGACATGGCTTGACTGTTGCTTGACGCCGCAGGATGCATCCTTCGTTCGTGATGTTGTGTTCGTTTTTTTGTCCAATGATGGAAGCTGAACGATGCAGCCAATTGATATGTATATTATTATGTAATACTTACACAAAACACTCATTCCTTCCCATGACCACAGGCACTGAACACCCTTGGTAGAGGCTCAACAAATAGATTTAAAACATCTGTCCGGGTGAGAAGTATTTTGTGCAGATGGGAAACCTGTTGGGCGGACACAGAATTTGGGACTTGAGTTCGGAACTTTGTGTCACGGTCTAAAATAGACAAAAAAGGCCAGCTAGGAGCAAGGACGCTACTAGGGGCTCCTGGCATCGCTACTACTAGGGGCTCCTGGCCTTAGCCTACTAGGAACAAGAAGCTACTAGGAGCAAAGGGCGCTGCTAGTAACAAGTGCCACGCTAGTAGTAACAGGTGCCTTACTACTAGGAACAAAAAGCTATTAGGAACAAGAAGCTACTAACAAAAAAGCTAACGGCACATGTTCACCCGGTCCTTGACGCCTCTGAAGACCCAATGGCCCGTGCACCCAAGCAGCATGCGAAATGTGTAGTTGACCGGTTGACCATTGCAATATGGTCAACAAACAGCTTCTTGTTACTACTAGTAAGGCACCCGTTACTAGCGTGGCACTTGTTTCTAATAGCTTCTTGTTACTACTTCATTCTACACCCCTGATGGGTTTCAGAGCGCTATTATTTCATGTGTTTTCGTCTCCTCTAATCAATCCATCTATATATATAACGGCCCCAACATGAACCCCGTCCTTCCTTCACCTCGACAAGAGTGGAGGCAAAAACAATTGAAACTCTCCACTGTGTTCCCCAAATGTTCAGCACTGGAACTGTGGTTCTCTTCACACCCATCATGGCACACCCCACAAACTGTCTCGTCATTCTAGCGTCTTCCAATCGAGGCGCCAGGTATGGTTTGCCCTCAGGGTCGATCCGCATGGCCTCACCATCACTGCACAACTCGGACCGGAAGTCGCCGTGGTACCTCAAACTTCAAGGATGGATCCAAAGCCCTCCTCAAGCTAGCGGCCTCCAACCTGCTAGTTACTAGCGACCTCCAATCTACTAGCGATGACCTCAAACCTACTAGCAGTGGGCTCCAATCTACTAGCGATATCGATGGCATACGGCTGCGCGTTTCACACTTTCAAATCGACATCTTGGAGTAGTGGAGTTGGGGTCATGTCGAGCCGTCGATCCCAGCAATTCGCAGCTACACAACAAGCGACACAGCTTGGAAATTCAGCTTGCGAAACAAAACAACAACGAAACCGCCTGACCACAAGATCCTCTGCGCTGCATGTTTCTAGGTATTTGTTCCGACCTTCACTTTGAGAGAGTCGACATTCCTCTTCCGAATGCCAAAAGATTTTAGAATGGACTCACAAAAAGGTTCCATCTCGGCATGGTGTCCAAATTTCATGAAAAGTTTGAACTTTGCTACCAAATGTCTTGTCTCCACAGGTAGAAGAAAAGGAATACGTTTGTCTTTACCTTCAAAAAAAGCTTTGATGAAGCTTTGGTGGAAGAAGAAACCAGGACATGTTCTCTTCTCAGCGGTGTCTCCGCTCATGGAGTTGTATTGGAGTGGACGTGTTCATTGCGCAGGGTTTGTTGATATATTACATTATATTATGATGTCTGAAGCTCTCAGCATGTTAGTGGGGAGTTCCCGAATTGTTTCAGAGCTGATTGATATTTGCAAATTGTCAAAAATTGTCCTCTTCCTGATGATTGCCCCTGAAGTTGTCGGTGAGCAGGAGCAACGAACAAAAAGGGGTGGTTCAGAGTGAGAGTTGGACGCGACTGCGAAGAGGAAGGAATCCTCAGACATCACCCAAAAATATTTGGAGAGGCATTGCATCCTTTATTTGAGATTTTCTGGTGGCAAACAAAAGGTGGAAAAAAAATCAAAATGCCGTAATCTGCTTTGGCCTTTCGTTTTGTAAAGGACAAGTCTTCATCTTGTATGTGTATGAGCGGTGTTCCTGCTCACATCTAGAATCTAGCGGGGTGTTTCCGCTCATGGCAAGGAAGGCGTTCCACGACATCAATGTTTGCTTGCTTCCAATGTGTTCAAATCAGTTGAGCACATGATTGCTCCTGAAAAAAGTCTAGTGCGTCGTGAGCATGCCTGCATATGAAGAGAAAAGGGCATGGAGACGATGCCAAAGTCAAGAAGTGCATCAGTGTCCCTGACGCTTCCGAGAAGACGGTTTTTCAGATATGGAACCATCCAACCATCTACACACTGAAAGGCAGCAGAGAAAAGACACATTAATATACTGTAAGTAACCCAATCAGGATAACTAGAAAAGAAGCACTACCTACAGAACATCTCAACGGCGCCTCCAGGGTAAGCAGGGTCAGGTTACCCCTCGCTAAATGGGATCGGGTTCGAAGTGTTTCTACGCTTGCACGCCCTCAAGAGGACAACGTACGGCCTCAAGCTGAGAGCAGCCCGTCGCCCCCTCAAAGGACAAGACGCGAACGTTCCTGTCGAAACCGTCGCAACACGGCTGCCACGACCTACATTCAGGGGCCAAGCCTCAATGTACTAAACAAAGCAGCAGCGCTGCTGCAGTCCTATGCTATAGCTAGTGATGGCTGCTCTCGACGCCGTTTCCCACCAGAATGAATGCAGCACAGCCATCGCCCAAGGTGGCTGTCAAGCTAGAGCTTGTGTTTAGGGGCCAAGTGAGTTTCCACGCAACAGCCAACACATCAATGCAACGTTTATTCTACAAATGACATGTGGATTCACTTCGGCAATTGCCCGCATCTCAAGGTGGAACGCTTCTGCCGGGGCACATTGTGAAGGAACTCCGCAAAGGAGGCGCAGCTGTCAGCACTCTCACTGTGGATGATGCAGCCGGTGCCTGGCGGCCCATCACTCATATCCTGCCCATCCAGCAACCTTGGAAGAGGCAATCTCCACTTTTCTCAGGGGGGGGCCCTCGATCATTGCAGGGGGCCCCAAGATCTAGGATTGAAAGGATCCAGATTGAACAACCAGCTCACAAAACCAACCAACGGCAACATCAACAGCAACAAGAATGCTGGCTTTTCTTATTATTGCTTCCAAAAAGACTTGAGGCAAATGAGGTGGACAACAGGTAGAGCTTGGAAGATTCTGAAGAGGAGTTAGCAGCAAGCAGCAGCAACAGCAAACCAGCACCAGCCAGCAGCAGACCAGCAGGCGCAAAGCAGGAAGACCATGGAGAAATGAGACAGAATTATATACCTAAAATAGCCTAAAATACTTATATAAGTTTGGCCTGCACAGCCCTTGGTTTTCGAACAGTTTTGGGAGGGTTGCGCAAATGGAGCTGCCACGCAATGAAGCAGGGTCAAAGGCAGCGCAAATCAAGCCGAGGCTTCTGGTGGTAGGTGGTAGGGAGGTAATTGGAGGATGGGACTTAACGGATCCGGAGCTAATGGAGGTAACGCTCGAAGGCAGTGATTGAGTTCTAACAAAGCCCCACATACTCAGCTCCAAAACACAATACTTATATAAATCAGGCAGTGGAGTCTTCCACTCCCCTACATCATCTTGCTAAAGCAAGGAGAACTTAGGTAGCCGAGGCTACCTTTCGTGAAAACACCATGCCTGCAAGTCCAACGATCTTGCCTACACGCTCTGGACGGACAAAGGAAACCGGTAAAGCCACAAAGCTGTGTTAGGTCTGTGTACGGGCTATATTCGCTCAACCAAAATAAGAGACAAAGGCCAATGGTGCATTTGTATGTGATCTAGGCTGTGGATGAGTATCTCCGAAACTTGAACACCTTCCTCCACCCCTCAAGCCACCTCTATAGCCCCAAGGAAAGAAGAGGCCTCAGGCCGGATATCTGCTTGGTGCAGTGGAAGACTGGTTTGCTTCAGAAGGTCATAGTTCAACTTCGAGTAGTCCTGCCCTGTCCACATCCTGCTAAAGAAGAAACTCTGCTGAGAAAGTCAGTCTGGAAGCAGCTGGAAATGAACACCCTGCCACGTGGATCTCAGTCGCTTTGTATCGCTGTGTTCCCGCTTCTCAAACATGATCAAACATGTGTCTTGCCGTTGCAGTTCAGAACCGGGTTACCTGACCACCACCGGTCGTTGCATCCGATCCACCGAGAACTCCTGGGTCAATCCACTGGGTGTTCTACGACTCGGGGGGGGTCCGCGCGAGTGAAGACCAAGACCCGTCAGTTAGCTGGAGGCCCAAGTTAGTCGAGAATTGGATTTGATTCAGGGAACAACCTTGAAACCGGAAGATCCAAAATACTGTATTCACATCAGCAGTGAACTTCTTGTTTTAGCCGAAGACAAGATAGGAAGCAATTCAGTGTACCAACCCAACAAATACATGCCCAATTGTCCCAGAATACATCTAAATGTGTCAACGCTCGCCTGACTCCACTCAAGAATTGCGATAACAATCTCAACCCAAAACCAAAATACATACCCTCTAGAATGCCATTTCACTGATCGCTGACTTGTTTGTGTCTTCCAACTTGGCTCCCTTACACGAGCCCGCGGCACCTCAGCCAGAGAAGGAAAACAAACACATTTCACCTTCGTGATGGTTCGTGACAAAGCACAACCACTCATTAGATTTGGCAATGCATTCCTCCAGGCGAGGTGTTGCATAGAACCGGACACAAATTCAAAAACAACATGTGACGGCGGGCACTGGCCTCGTTCTTTACGTTTGGGTGCAATTGATCAGCTTATTCTTTACACCGCATATGCCGCATAGGGCTGATCCTCAAACTCGGGACACGTGGTTTGCCGCTCAAAGCATTTTCTGCTCAATCCCTTCCCCGGAACCAATCCGGGCACCGTCCTTTTCCCGTTTGGCATGGTCCGACGTCAGTTCCCAAGGTAGTCTACCCACCAAATGTTACACTCCAAAACACTCAAGACTCTTGTAATATGAGTTCTGCTGCGGTGTTCTTGTAAAACCTTCAGACATCCACAAAATTCCATCATGAACAGTGGAAACACATGCAGATCCTGTGGACCAAACGACAACATGCCATGTCTGAGTCACACAAAAGAACTGCTTACGCTGCTGCCTTTTTACATTACAATTCAAGGAGCTTGGCTAACAATAGTCCCTTCTCCATCCTGTCACCTCTTCTCCGCCATGCACAGTGCCTGGAAGAAGTCGCACTGGCTCGTGGTGCAATGCCCTGTGGCCCACGGCGGAATGCATAGCCCTAGTAGGCAAACATGAATGCCTCACCATCGACTTGTATCCACTTGGTCAAGCAATCTACTTTCCTGAATTTCGGCTAACCATCTAATATATACTTGATGAGTTACAGCTCTTGATTGATGTTGACTTAACAGATCCAACCATGTGGAACCAATCATCTACAAACGAGTGTTTCTCCATTTAAGGATCATTGGTGCGGATGCCCACAAACGTGTGGACAGTCGGACTATTCGAAGATTGCACATGTGGAAGAACCCCAGCTACAAGGACCAAACATTCAACTAGGTGCAGCAATTGAAAAAAGAAGTGATTTTCTTTCAATCCAAGAACAAATTTTAAAAAAAAATAATCACACTGGATTTGATATGCTGGGATCCCCAACATCTAGGAATCTAGGCCTGTCACAATCCTCATATCAAAAACACCTGAAGCGCCATGTTCTATACAGAAGGACGCTACTAAAGGCTCCTGGCATCGCTACTAGGAGCAAGAACGCTACGAACGGAGCCAAGGGCATCAATTCTTTTCTCCACCAGTGACCTGTCGGCCATTCGTGTTCTCGCATAAAAATCATTCAACGGCCGCTCAAACGCGCTGCACAGCGACACATTTGCCTTCATCTGCAAAGTAGGCCTCACAAACAGGGAGACCGGAGAGATGTTGTCTGCACGAAACAGCACGAAGAACAAACGAAATACCAAGCGAAAGATTCGCGACCAACTTGAACTTCAGAATTCAACCTTAGCCTTCTTTGTTCAAACTCGCATGACTGATCAACTCTTCCATGTGTACCCTGCATGTTCGATTTAGACGAGGGTCACGTTTTGACCTTTAGACCTTTATAGACCATTCGTTTTTCTGAGAAAAGTGATACAGCACACCACTACCACCGAGTGATCTCCAAACTGATGCGCCCTCCGCGCCGGTCCAACCCATCGGCTCCGCCTGAAAGGCTCGTCGCCGAGCAGCTTGGGACTCCTTGGAGGGTGCCACAGGCAGCGGAGGTGCTGGGGCACGACGGAGACGGGCAAGTTTGGCACTGAGACCAGTCATCATTGGAAAAGAGCGGTTTCTTGAAAGGACGTGATCCGGATGGTATGTCTCTTCATATGTGGTTCTATTTCTTCTCACTCGTTTGCAGAATTTATGCACAGTGCTGTACCCTCAAGCTTCCAAATGCATGGTATATACATAATTCAAACTCCTTCAAGAACAAAGAACAACAGACCTTGAGCTAACAACGCAACAATGTCTCACAGGCGATCGAGTCAAAGAACGCTGAAGACCATGAAGCTGACTGTAAGCACCACACCCATGTCAAAGTAAATGGAATTCCCGTCTTTGGATCGTTTTCCACATGTTGCCTTTGGATTAAATTTGCACCAGCTACTTTCACACTGAAGAATCCCTCTGGAAAACCTCTTCAACATTCTCTGACCAAGAGGGCGCTACTGACAGTAGTGAACTTTGCCGAGGAACCACCATGACACCTGACCGTCCATTGCTGGCCATTGCGCGGCACCCCAAAAAGTGGACAAGACTCGACAGCACTCTTTGAAAGTCGTCGAAGTAAGCGGGTTTTCTCTGTTGGAGTCCATTGCCATTAGGTTGGAGGCCATTGCTATCTTTCTTTCTCTCTCTCTCTCTCTCTTCTTCTTCTTGCTCTTGTCAATGTTGCGATGGTCATTGCCATATGATGTCATAATAATTGTTGCTGCTATTGGCTTCAACTCTCGGTCATAGCATGGCAAAGCCGTTTGTACTTGTACGCCGCCTGCAAGTCTTGGATGATCATGCATGCAATCTTCATTAAGAAATCCGCCCAAAGAAAACAAACATGCACTGGAGCACGTGGCATTTGTACCCAAGCAGGTGAAGCTCGACAACCGGATTACCTAGCCCCTGGGCTGGCAACTTTCAGCTTCAGGTCTGAGCTAAGCAGCATGTGATGTCAACCTCCAATGTTCCCATTTGTCCTAAACGCTTCACAAACAATTATTATCCATCTATCTAGCTGCAAAGTGAATCCCAATCACTTGATGATCTGTCGAGGGGCATATTTGTCATGCATCTACACACTATTACTAGGATGATCCCTCTTCAGTCGGTTCTTGATGGTTGTAAACCTTCCAAACACCTGTCTCACAATGCAGCCTCGGAGTTTAAGTTATCACTTAAAACCTCCGAACCATATCTCCTCCGAGAGCGACAACAAACAATACTCCCTCGACGACCTTCCTTTGCAAAAGGATGCAACAAACTCAAGAGATTGATTGAGCATGTCTTAGGCTAGCAGATGGATTCTGAATCAAATCAAATCAAATTAACTTTGCCAATCTCAGCATAGACTTCCCCATACCAAGCCACACTCTGCCACACCATGCCACACACACACGCACACACTGCTTGTTTGCTTGCTTTTTCAAGCGCCTCTTGCCGCGCGAACTGCTCGGCCGCCAGGTCGAATCGGTAGCGGTGGAGGACCTTGAGAAGGTTCGACGCGCTCCAAGGCCTGGGTCGCATCGGATGGGATCCGAAAGGACGCCCCTACTACTAGTAACAAGTGCCACGCTAGTAGTAACAAGTGCCTTACTAGTAGTAACAAGTGCCTTACTAGTAGTAACAAGTGCCTTACTAGTAGTAACAAAAAGCTATTAGAATTAAACTAAGTTTGAATTAAATTAATGGCTTCTTGTTACTACTAGTAACAAGTGCCACGCTAGTAGTAACAAGTGCCTTACTAGTAGTAACAAGTGCCTTACTAGTAGTAACAAAAAGCTATTAGAATTAAACTAAGTTTGAATTAAATTAATAGCTTCTTGTTACTACTAGTAACATGTGCCACGCTAGTAGTAACAAGTGCCTTACTAGTAGTAACAAAAAGCTATTAGAATTAAACTTCAATTTAAATTGAATTAATAGCTTCTTGTTACTACTAGTAACAAGTGCCACGCTAGTAGTAACACGTGCCTTACTAGTAGTAACAAAAAGCTATTAGAATTAAACTTCAATTTAAATTGAATTAATAGCTTCTTGTTACTACTAGTAACAAGTGCCACGCTAGTAGTAACAAGTGCCTTACTAGTAGTAACAAAAAGCTATTAGAATTAAACTTCAATTTAAATTGAATTAATAGCTTCTTGTTACTACTAGTAACAAGTGCCACGCTAGTAGTAACAAGTGCCTTACTAGTAGTAACAAAAAGCTATTAGAATTAAACTTCAATTTAAACTAAATTAATGGCTTCTTGTTACTACTAGTAACAAGTGCCACGCTAGTAGTAACAAGTGCCTTACTAGTAGTAACAAAAAGCTATTAGAATTAAATTAAGTTTAAACTAAATTAATAGCTTCTTGTTACTACTAGTAACAAGAGCCACGCTAGTAGTAACAAGTGCCTTACTAGTAGTAACAAAACGCTATTAGAATTAAACTTCAATTTATATTAAATTAATAGCTTCTTGTTACTACTAGTAACAAGTGCCACGCTAGTAGTAACAAGTGCCTTACTAGTAGTAACAAAAAGCTATTAGAATTAAACTTAAATCTAAACTAAATTAATAGCTTCTTGTTACTACTAGTAACAAGTGCCACGCTAGTAGTAACAAAAAGCTATTAGAATTGAATTTAAATCAAAATTGAATTAATAGCTTCTTGTTACTACTAGTAACAAGTGCCACGCTAGTAG